AGGATCTGGTAATGGATCAGGATCTGGTAACGGTTCAGGATCTGGTAATGGATCAGGATCTGGTAACGGTTCAGGATCAGGTAGTGGATCAGGAAGTGGTAATGGATCAGGATCTGGTAGTGGATCAGGATCAGGATCCACGGTCAGTGCTGTATCTTCTTCGGGCTCACAATCAGGTGGATCTGCACCAACTAGCGTATCAACATACGAAGGATCAGCTTCTTATACCAACATTTCATGGCTTGCAAGCTTGTTTATGGGTCTTGCTGCTTTCATGTTTTAGAAACTTGAAGAGTTGATTTAATTGCAAGATATTACTGATATTTCACCAAAAGTGCATTATCACGTTAACATATTTGCATTCATTCATTCCATTTTACTGCCAATGATGGTACCTTTTATTTTTTTCTTTTCTACTTCAACACTGATTGGTCTTGTATGGCCCACCAGCATATGTTGCTATTGTTATATGTTTTCGGTTCACCTCCCTCTTGATCAGAAACTTGTTTAGTTTTGGTTTCGGAGGTGATAATCTTTTATCATTATCTTTTAGTTTGTATATTTTTTTTCAAAGAGTTTGTACCCTTGACTTTTTCATGTAAATTTGTAAAGAAGGTTTCTATCGATGAGATTTTACTTGAGCTGAGACTACGAGGGGTTTAGATTGAAAAACAGGGGAGTCAATTTGGGTTTTCTAAGAATGTCATTTTTTTTTATATGCTGGGAAACTTACTCCAAATTTTATTCAGAACAACAAGCAAAAAGCACTAACATTCTTGGGAACAGCGGGCTAGCCTTGATATGAGCGTGGCAGACACGTAGAGAGGTGACTACAATATATGATGGACTGTCGTACGAGATTTGAAATTCTTGTACTACGGTTTTGGCATGGTTGGGCATTGTCTCTTGTGCTATAGGTAACAGTTCAAGCCCTTACTTTTTGTATTGAAGACCTCATTTTTTTTTTTTTTATTTTATTATTTTCTGTGAATCAGCTGCAAAAGAAGTGACTCAGAAACAAGAAAAGTAACACGATTTTTAGAAAGGATTTCTCAAAGTGGGATTTTTTACAAAGAATCCTCCAACTTCAAAGAGGTATGACTGCCTTGGCAATTACTTAGAGACCACCACCCACTGACTAACTATTGCTCTGCCCCACAAAGCTTAAAAACTTGCAGGAGCCATTACTCGTCTATACTTGCCTTACAATTACATAGCGGGGGAAGAAAGTTGTGCTTGGCTAAATACGTCACTTTCCTAACTCAACATAAGTGATGTGACTATTTCTTATGTATTGCGTACCATTTCTGGAAAGAAGCAGTTATCGTCTTGTATTTTGTTGCACTCTTAGATGCCTATAGCAACCAGAGGTATGTATTACAACAACTGAACATCGCTTCTTTTGTGTAATACAACTCGGTGAGACAGGCGCTATGAACTGGAGTTACGAAGGAAGAAAAAGACTCTTTGGTTGGAAACCCACACAAGAATCCACAAAGTCTTGCACCTAGACCGTGTTGAAAGTGACCGATTCTGAGGAAAATACGGCTGGTTAAGGTTTTGTTAAAAAAGGTTAGTTTCAAAAGATCTTTAATTTTACGAACTATATTTTTCTATTTGTGTGCAGCTCGAGTGGCACAAACATGATGGGTGACCACCGCTGTTAGATCCCTTCCCCCCCACCACGCCTCGAAGATATCATTCCCAAAGCTTATACATATTTACACAAATCGGTTGCCTGTTTGAAATGATGCGGGCTGCAACTACATTCATAATTGCTGTTTTCACCTTGTTTCTATGAGCAAGTTCCCAAAAAGGAAATTTCAAAGAGGCTTAGAATATTGTAAACTCGACGAAGAATTAACGACATTCAAGTAGATCCTTGTTCTTCCAATTTAGAGTATGCATATACGTCTGCTGTGGTACAAAAAAGCTTTACCTGTCTTGTATTTCTTTCTTCTTCTCAATTGTTGTATCGCATTAGAAAGTTTCCTGACAATATAGCAACCCCAACACAAACACACAAACACACAAACACACACAAACACACACAAACACACACAAACACACGCACACTAAAGAGAAGACAAGTACAGTAGCAAAAATAATAAAACAGAACAATGGAGAACTACGGAAGTGTGATCAGTGACGCAAAGTAGAATCGGCAGTGTTGTGTATACCACAAACACAGTGAGACAAAATAATAATAGTGGTAATATCTTTTGTGTGCGTGTGTGACTTGGTTATTGTGGTTATGCGGGGAGGTGGCCGCTTTGAGTCATCAGCTGGGGAAAAAAGTATTCAATAGTTAATACCAGGCAAGCTCTGGACTTTTTTGACAAGGTGCTAAGACCACCCGGTTGATCTCATTGCATAAATCTTGGTTAGGAAGAGGATGGAAAAAGAAATGAAATAAACTCAAAGAAGAAATAAGGAAAAGGAAGGGCGTTAACTCTAATTTCTTTTCTTTTTTATTTTTCTTTCTTCTTTATTTTCCATTTTTAAACTTCTGGTTTGTTCCTTTTTGGGGCACATTTGACCAAATTAGGTTGAGAAAAAAAGTCGGGAGACACACCTAGGTTCAATGGTCTTTAGGGTTTTTTTTTTGTTGCCATGAATATTTTAACTATTCAACTATGGTACGCCTAAACTTTCTTCTTCACCAGCATAGTTTGTGGACAGTTATTTTATCTCTGTTATTATTTTTGTGATAAATTCAGAGGAAAAGCCTCGCTACAATGCGATGATTAAAAAGCAGTATCTAAACAGAATTGCAGTTCGTAGTGGTGTTTTCCCTTGTAGCCGACTCGCCCTAAAAGCCGAAGCGCCCTTATTGTGCCCTTTATGCGGCTGATACCAATGTTTCTGAGTTACCAAAAAACTTATGTGTACTCCCTGGGTCGTGCACCAGACAGAAAAAAAAATGACCGTAACCGCAATACAAACGGCTCGAACTTGAAAACGCTTAAAGTATTAAATATCCACCATTTCAAATTAACTTTCACACATAAACTTTTGTTGTACTTTTATTCTGTTTGCATAATCGAATCTTTGCCCATACTTTCAAAATTTTTTACTTTGTAACATACTTCGAGAAAGAGGGTTTTTTCTGTGGAATAGAATTAGACTTCTACACATTTCCTTCCTTTTCTTCTGACTCCCTTTTTTAACGAAAGTTAGATATCAAGATAATGAGAATTCTAAGACGATTAAGTTGGCAACGTTTAGGAAGCGTGATCTTTTTGTAAAAGTTTTCGCCTTGGAGCCTATGAACGTAATCTTAATTATAAGCCACACAAAGGCAGCTGTCCCAATACAATAATATAAGCAAGAGCGCCACAAAAACCCGCTAATTTCCACGCATCACAACTAAATTTAACTCAAAAAAGGAAAAAAAGGAAAATAAAACAAATATGCAAACTAAAATGAATTTAGCAAATGAGGACAGTGACAACCTAAAAACAATTTCGACAACTGAGTGACAAATTCAAATGCCCTAGAACGTGAACCTTATAAAGCAAGATTCTTGTCGACTCAACAATAAAGCAAAGAGCATTATTCTGTGGTATCCTACCACTGGGTAAGGTGAGTTACAAAGTCTTAAAGATCTTGCACAACTCATGCTATGCTCTCTCAATTATCTTTGTCTTGGCTCAAACCAAAAACACGAAACGCCTTGCGGCTAAACTTGCCATGAATCGAATGAAATATGCGAAGAAAGTAAAACAAAACAAAGCAAACTCACCACCACCTTCATTTGCCCACTACCCATGCAGTTCTCAGAAAAACGTGGCGAGGCTCTACATATAGAATCGCGTGTCTAAGCATTTTCTTTTACTTTTTAGTTTGTGTAGTAGCAGAGTTTTGTTGAGTTGCGATTCTGTCTCTCTGTCTCTCTCTCTCTCTCTGTTTTACGAAATCTCCTATTTTGCTAATTAGCAAATAACGTGATGTGGTTATAAATCAATGCGCTAGAGTTAATCTTGGAGTACGGTTTCTCCAAAGACTCATAACCATAACGGCGTAACTGAATTACTTTGGAAAAGGGTTAGGGTTATGAGAAAATAAAAAGTTTCGTGCCCCCTTTTACCAGATCTTAGTTGTAAGAATGACCACTTTTGTTACAGAGTTTACCAAAATATAAAATGGGGTTGACTAAGCAGTTGATATTGTGTGCTGTATTTGATCACTTTGGCGCTTTTTTTACCATCCATCACAGTAGTAGAACGGGGAACTACATCTTTTCCTTGAAGTTCAAAGTGCTTTTACTTGTGTAACAACTTGACAGAAAGTCATGTATGTCGTAAAGAGGGATTGAAGTAGATTTGCTACTGCAGGAAAAGCCCAATTTTTTCTTTTCTGACTTGGGGGCGGATCATGAAAATTCGAAAACATTAGTAATAGCTAAAATAATACAACACAAATGCGAAAATCTCCGTTTCCCGTAGTCTTCACCAGTGTTTTACACACGCATTATGCACATCTTTCTCTCCGCCCCTCCCCACCTCCGTATTTTACCTAACAAAAAGAAGACAAGCACAAAGTATTCTGAACATCGAAGTGCACGGTCTCCAATACAGGGCTCTTAAACACTAAAAGAAAAGAAAAATACGACACCGTTCCATTTGCGAATATCGGCATAGTCAAAAGCCATGGTACACAATCTGCTTACAAAAGCTTACGACACAAGGCAGCGGGTTCACGGTGACAATGTTGCATTGGAGTAATCCATGTTAAGAATGATGGGGTGGATTATTGCTCCAAAAGAGGATACGCCTTGTAGGATCTTTGGTATGGTTTTAAAAAACTCAATTTAGTGCCTCGTCTGCATTCAGAACTTCTGGGTGAGAGTGAACATAAAAAATAATGCCTAAGGTTTGTGATATCTTTAAACCCTCTCGTAGTTTTTATTTTTTTATTTTTTTCTTTTCTGTGTTGTGAAATAATTTTATTTTTTTGTTCTTTTTCTTCTTCTGTCGTAAATACGCTCTCCTTCTGTGCATCTTTCATTTGTAATTCAAAAAAAAAATACATTCGTGATTACATTGTATTGTTTATTTGTGTGGTGTCTCGTTTAATTTTTCTCTCTTACAACAAAGATGTAATTTTTGAATGAGTATCTAAAAGGGCTTTCAACTGGAATTTAGTTAGAAAGAAATTGCTCGCCCAAAAATATCACCTTATTCTGAGTTTAGTCAATTGTGTCCCTGCAAAGGTCTGATATTTTTAGTTTTGTAATTTCATTTCTTTTTTTATTTCTTTTTATTTTTTTTTTTTATCACTTTCCTTCTATCGCTTTTGTGTCACCTTGGTTCCCTACTATCGTATTTCTACTGCAAAATTTTTTATTTTTAACTCCTCTAACATCCGTTGTAACATCCGTTGTTTAGCATTCTATACATGCTACATTTGAACAGTTTTCCGGTTCCACTTGTTCTTCAACTGAAAACTGTATTTTCAATATGGCCTCTTTTCTATTCATTAATCACACTCTGGCCAGTTCCCCTCGACGCATAAATATGATTCAAAATCCCTTAGATTAAGCTCTAATCCACATTTTTACTCTCGTTCTCTTATCAAACCGCATCAAGTAACAGTGAAATGTTGATATTTTCAAGGATATTTTTGATATCCAACGTGTTATTCGCGATAGCGATGGGATTGGACGTCACTACAAACAGAGTTGACAGAGGTATTATTAGTTTGGATGTTGGAGACATAACTATTCATTCTGGGGCTTATTGGTCCATCATCAACAATGCCGTTTCTGCTTTCGTGTCAAGTTTAAATGTTCAATCAAATGCTGGTTTATACATTTCAAGTACTTCACCATTGATTGGTTTGCAAGTTACACTTTTAGGTTTGTTGAATTCCATCACCAACAATGGTGTTATTTCTTTCAACGCGCTAGCTTCTTTAACTTCCTCAAATTACAACCTTGTTGGATTATCATTTACAAATAATGGAGAGATGTACTTGGGTGCTTCTGGAGTTGTTG